ATCTGAGAACTGTCGACATTGCCTGGGACGAAGCTGAAGCAGTCGCTGCTGACCGACATCGATGGAGATCACTAGCTGCCCGATGCACCGCCCGGCGTAGGAGGAACTAAGTGCTAAGTAAGTGTATACACATACATATATATCCCAAAAGTTAATCAATTAAATGTTAATTAGTAAATGTTACTGAGCACTATCCACCTCTAAGGATGAATAAATACACTTGCATAAGTAACACAAATAACTACAAATGGTCCTAAAATGAGGAAATGATCATGTGAAGTAGAAGGTAAAAATTAACTTAAACATCATAGACCACATCATTTATAAAAGAATTTAATTTACACACTTCCGTGTTCATACACCTATGTAAAAAAAAAAGTCAATTTAATCTGTTTAAAAATAAAACTTGCATACATTACCCCTTAAAATCGACACTGTGACCTCATCGAGTTCTTCCATGGTGTTAGCTGATTTAGCTTACTAGTTAGCTCTGCTGGCATTAGCTAGCCTCGTGTAGTCTGTGTTCGGCTGCAATATTACACAATATAAATGGACCGAAACATTTAGAACATTTAAAAGGAGTGTAATATGTACGAAAAAAATGAGCACTGTACAATACATTTTAACTTACTTCCAATGAAACACGGATGCAAAGAACTCTCGGACAGTAGTGGCAGGCACATGGCTGCATGAACTGAAGATGTCCACCAGATCATTTACGACAGTCAGACACAAAGTTCGTCCTCAATTTGCCTGACATTTCTTTGGCTTAAAAGATCCTAAAAGGAAGACTGATTCATTGATTGTTTTTAATCAAAACAACTGTCTCTGTGCATTGCAAATCAACGTTAATTATTATAGGTTAATAAAAGAGAATTTAGTTTACCCCCACATTTACGAAAATTTAGCAGGCGCGTGTAACCATGGTAACGAGTTATTTTACAGCAGTCACAACTGCAGCCTCGCGCTACCGACTGAAACTTGCTAGCTTCCGACGTGATTTGGCGTTGCTTCATATGCTACGTGTTTGAGACAATGTGACTCTGAGACAACTTTTGAATCACATTAACACCATGCACAACCGCAGCCCTGACTTCTGCGTGGTGTGTGGAATTAGTGACTGTCCGAGTGAGTATAAAGTGTATAACTCCTTCTACTATCATGTAAAGCAGACACGCGCGCATCACCTTCTCGGAATGGAAGCGGATGAGGAGGAAGGATCAACTCGCCATGGCTTACCTGGAGCAGGTGAAAGGACGGCCCCAATCAACTAGGGCTGGGTATCGTCACTGATTTCTAGAATTGATTCAATTCCGATTCACAAGGTCCCGAATCGGTTCGATCCTCGATTCGATTTAATTCGATTCGATTCGATTCAATTCGATTTGAATCTGGGAAATTTTGACAGTCAGAAATATTATAATTCAGATCAGTACATTTACATATTTTTGTATCAATAAAAAGGAAGCTGACACACGCAAGACTTTATCAAAGGTGTGAGCATCACAGCAGATGCCTTTGTGTCAAAGTAGCTGAAGATAAAACACAGAAAAACATGAAGGTGATTTTCCTGGCCTGGGATTTTATAAAAAATATTCTGCAGTACATCAAAAACGAAAGAAAACCATTAATCAACATACGAACATTACCTCTGACGTTACAGCGGTTTTATTAGAGACACGGTTAAGCGTTTTGCATTTTGCATAATTTTAAAAAGTTTAAATTCCCAGTCAACACACATATGTGGGGCCCAAATAGGGAGCAGCAGGGCTAATATTTGGGGCCCACTTGGGAAACCCAACTGGGGTCCAGCTAATTTTGTCCTCAGTTTCCACGGTGGCCCCAAATGTGTTTGCCCAGATGGATTAATGATGGAACCCGGATGGGCCCCAAATCAGGCCCAGCCAACAAATGAGTATGGGGCCCAGATGGGTAGAAGTGGGTCTGATGGTTGGGGCCCACTTGGGTTACCCACCTGGCACCCTGCTACTTTTGTCCTCAGTTTCCAAGGTGGCCCCAAGTGTGTTTGCCCAGATGGATTAATGATGGGACCCGGATGGGCCCCAAATCAGGCCCAGCCAACAAATGAGTATGGGGCCCAGATGGATAGAAGCAGGTCTGATACTTGGGGCCCACTTGGGTTACCAACCTGGGACCCAGCTATTTTTGTCCTCAGTTTCCATGGTGGCCCCAAGTGTGTTTGCCCAGATGGAATTTTGGATAATGTAAGTAAACTATAATTTAAATCACCTGTACAACAAAGCCAGTTTATCTTTTTTATTAATACTGATTACTATGAAATTTTAAAACAGTATGCTTTTTTATATAATAAATTTTTTTGTTTGAAGAACATGCTGACAAAAATGTCCACAGTATACACAAAACAATAACAAATAAATGTTATACAATTTAAAGGAAAAACAAATGCAGCAAACCACAGCTTCTCACTCATTCACCAATCCATTGGTCCTGAAAGGAATAAAATAAAATAAAAAATGAGTGCATTTTCACAAACAAAATCAGATTTGCGATAGTACTGGAGTTGTTTTGGAGGTTGTGCTGTTCAAGTTGTTTGACCTCCTACATTGAACTCTTTGAAGACAATGAGTATTCATGGAAACAGAAAAGCTATTTACAAAATGATTTACCAATAAGTAGGCACTCAAAAATTAAATTAATGTGAAATATTTTACCTTATACCATCTGAATTGAAGACAAATGTTTAAAAGATGTCTACATAGTTACAATGATAACTGGTGTTGTGGGCTGTCTCAGTGATCGGCACAGAGCTTAGAACAGGCAAGTGGTTAACCAGTTTTTTGCATGGTACAGCACCTCATACTGAACAAAAAACAAAATAGTAAAATGTAACAAGGGCTACATCTACCAAGGAGAAAACAGATTCCACTTCTTGAGGTGTGTGCCAGGTGGGCACCAATGATTTTCATGTAAATCAAAACCAGGGCCATCAGATAAATCAGTGTGTTACCCATTACACTGGTAAAAATACAGGCTGGCTCTGGAGTTCCTGGAGCTTATTCACATTCTGTGAGCAACCAAAAAACTGTTTAGTGAGAGACTTCTTCAAGTATGCTGCAAGCCAGAAAGAAACGTGGTCATTCCTGCCAGCAGCCACCAACTTCCAGAACAACATAAGCTGATGGTTTCATCTTCACAATTTCTACAGTCTATCTGTACAAGACTTGTTGAAAATGCAGAGGAGCTGGTTGTGAACTGAGCTTCAGAGAAACACAGCATACTGAGATTCGCTGTGAAGCTTTGAGTGGAAAAAGACAGAAAAAAAAGCATGTGGATCCTAGAATAATTGTAGTGTCTAGTCGCAAATCTTAAAAATGGTTCAAGCTTCGCTCAGGTTAGAAGAATTTGATTTCTGCGTCGAGATTCCAATTACAATCAAAGATCACAGGAGAGGAGCAGAGTTCTATGCCAGTTGTTTTATTAAATGTTCAAGTTCAGCAAAACATAGGAAAAGCAAATGAAGCTCCCCTAGGGTGTTTGCCGTGAGCACATGCAGATCAAAAAAACAACATAAACAGAGGCCAAAAAACTGCTCAGAGTGCATCTGACCCATCTTTTTATAGGGTCAGTGACCCCTCCTCCTGCTGGTGGGTATTTTATCATTCCTTGGTTTTTCCCTTATCTGCATTAAATTTAAACTAATAAGTATTTACCCATTTCTACAAATGTCAACATTACCTCCAATCATCAATGTAATATGTTTGTCAATACTTTATCCCCAATCAGTTGTCAATTTGCACTTTGTTCTTAAATATCCGGCACTTGTGTTACATAACTTTCTGGTATTACTCCATAACTCTCCGAGCGCTATTTTCCAACATCAATCATTTTTAATTGGTCCCTTTGGCAGTTTAATGGCCAAAAGTCTGAAAAACTACAGACATTAAACATAATGCAAAGAGAAAACAATTTTAATCTTCCTGGCTGCTTTGTCAGATTCGCTGCCAGGGGTAGGCTACTATATACAGTGGCAGGCTACTATATACAGTGGCTTGCAAAAGTATTCAGCCCCCTTGAACTTTTCCACATTTTGTCACATTACAGTCACAAACATGAATCAATTGTATTGGAATTCCACGTGAAAGACCAACACAAAGTGGTGTACACGTGAGAAGTGGAACGAAAATCATACATGATTCCAAACATTTTTTTACAAAGATCTGAAAACTGCTGTTCACAAACGCTGTCCATCTAATCTGACTGATTAGATGGACAGCATTTTGCATGGAGCTGTTTTGCAAAGAAGAATGGGCAAGGATTTCAGTCTGTAGATGTGCAAAGCTGGTAGAGACATACCCTAAACGTCTGGCAGCTGTAATATGTGCGCTCAACACAGACAGCATCGTCAGAAGAAAAGTTGAATCCATGAATCTGAAAACGCAATTCTGAGTGAAAGAGACAGACATGTACAGACTGAGGTTATGTCCACACTAATACATTTTCGTTTGAAAACATCTTTTTCTCTCTGTTTTGGCCTTCCATCCACACTTAGACTGCATGTTTGGTCAAGGAAAATTGAGCTTTTTGAGAATGCTCTCCAAAGTGGATAGATTAGAAAACGCTATTTTCACGTTGCAATGTGGACAGCAAAAAAGGAGGATTTCAAAAACAATGACGCATTTTACTCATATGATGCAGTCATGTGACCAATTCAACTAAAATGGTGGTTGGCATTGTGGCCTATATTCTTGCTCACATTTGCAACTTAGTACTCTTGTGTTACTCGTAGCCACAACTCTACCTCATTGTCAGTCCATTTAAAAAAAAAAAAAACAACTGTGCTTTTCCTCAACATTTTGCCGCAACCTTTCATAGAGCCAGAAAGTAAATAAACGGAGGACGGAAATGGCACAGGCCGAATCGTCTTACGTCTCATGGATGCGTAATACGCTCAACTGAGCACAGACACACTGAGGAACCATCGAAATAGACATAAAACCCAGGATAAAGAGGTTCAGTGAATGTGGTCTTGAAGGTGTGGAGGTGGATCAGAGTGTCCAGGGAGACTCTGTAGAAGGACAGAGTGCCAGCAGGACAGTCCACATACACTGCTACTCTGTTAGAGACAGAGGAGGAGATGGATGTTTCATTATTATTATGTATGACAGAATGAGGACCACGATCAGAGCATTTCAGACTCCAGGAGTGATCATTGTCTCCAAATCTACAGTCACCACTGCCTCTTTTCCTTCTGTAACTCACTGATATCTCAACTTCTCCTCTCCACTCGACCTCCCAGTAACAGCGACCAGTCAGAACATTTCCACACAGCAGCTGAACAGACCAAAACTCATCAAATCGGTCTGGATGATCAGGATATGACTGAAGCTCATTCACAAAGATCACCTTCCTGTTGTTGTCAGACACTTTGAGTCTTCTGTTTACTGTGTTTGTGTCGATTGTGAGTTGACAGTAATCTGATGGAGAGAACAAACAATCCAGCTGCAGTTATTGATCCATCATCTGTTCATTGATTGACACTTTGATGATGACTCCTGACATCAGAGATGTGAATGAGTGATGTGTGCTGCTTTGTTTTCATGAATATAAAAAAAACAAACTTACATTTCTTCAGACCTGGTTCCATCCATTTGTTTCCAGCAGGCACCACCCTGAAAGGAGGAGGGGGGTCAGACCAGCACAGTCTCTTTGAGCATGCACACATGGACATTACATCATTCTCATACACATTCTGTTAGACATTGATAAAGGAACAGTCCAACATTTTCACAAATACACTTCAATCCATACATGGATCAAACTGCTGAAGATTTTGACTGATCCTAGATCTGTCAGTAGACCTGTCACGGCTGGCGGGGTGAGCCGTGTGGTGTGGAGGAAACGGAGGACCCAAAATGCAGACAGCCGATATGATGATATGAGTGAGGGTTTAATTTACAGTGTACAAATAACAGAACTGAGGGCAGGACAGAACATAAACCTAAACTGGGTGAACTAAATAACAAACCGGATCATACAAATGGGGTGGGAGGCAGAGAGACA